GTTGCACGGAATAAATCCTTGTACAAGAAGCGGTGTGGTCCGAACTCGATCTCCCAATCTTCCCGCAATTCAGCGTACCTTGATCTCCTCCGCATGACCAGGACAAGGATACCACCCAAACCAAGTACAAATGTGGCCGTGACTATTGGTAGAATGATGTCCAAGGCCTTGGACCGAGGCTTCGGGCCAACCCGAGGCAACTTGGGCAGCTTGGCCATGTCGATGGCCGGAGCTTGTCTGCTCACGCCCAAGCTCCAACCAAGAATGAAATGCCGTGAATTGACACGATCGGTGGCCGCTGAGAACCCGAGATACACCAGCTCATGGAGCACCGTGGAGAGGTCGTAGCTGGCCGAGAGGAGTGGCCTAGCAGGCTTGGCCATGTCCAAGGGAGCCAGTGTCACGTTGATCTCCTTCCTCCCCCCGTGGTAATCAATCCACACTTGCATGGCCTCGCGGCTGATGAGCTTCATGCTTCGGAAGTCGCTGCTCTCGTCATCGTAGTAGCCGACGTTGTATGACCGTAGGGATTGCAATCCGTTGATGTCGATGCCGACGTGGTTGGCATTGATGTTGTGAAACAAGGAGAAATAGATTGGATCGACACACCTAGGCCGGTGGTCTCGATAGCATTATATAGGGCACCTCTAGGAGCTGCCGCTAGGGTTTACATGGGGGATAAGTACAGGTTGTTATACAAGATAACTACAATCCTAGATACTAACCATATCGGTTAACTATACAGTTTAACATTCCCCCTCAATCTGAACTTCCTACACAAAGATTCAGATTGTGCCTATTTAAGACAAACGGCACCTCAGCTATAGGCTTTGTGAATATATCTGCAACTTTCTCCTTGGAAGATATGAATCGAACATCAAGTGCCTTGGCTGCAACTCGTTCACGAACAAAGTGGAAATCCACTTCTATGTGCTTGGTTCTGGCATGGAATACCGGATTCGCAGATAGGTAAGTGGCTCCTAAATTGTCACATCACAGAACAGGAGTCCGAGAGAGAAAGACCCCAAGTTCACCAAGAACTGACTGTATCCATATTACTTCAGCTGTTCCATTCGCAAGTGCCTTATATTCAGATTCCGTGATCGACCTAGAGACCGTAGCTTGCTTCCTTGAACTCCAGGAGACAAGGTTGGGTCCAAGAAAGATTGCAAAGCCACCTGTGAATCGGCGGTCATCACTGCATCCAGCCGAGTCTGCATCTAAAAAATAGCTTAACAACATAGAGGGTGACTTGCGAATAGATAGGCCCATACTATGAGTATACTTCAAGTATCTCAAAATCCTCTTTGCTGCGGAGAGATGTGCAGTCGTAGGTACATGGAGGAACTGACAAACACGATTAACAGCAAAAGAGATATCTGGCCTTGTGAGTGTTAGATACTGGAGAGCTCCAACGATACCTGGTGCTATCCTCCTGAGACAGTGGTGATCCACTCTCCTTGCTAATTTTCTCACTGGAGGACATGGGCGTGGTAGAGACTTTACAATTCTCCATGTTTGCACAATGAAGAATGTCGCTAATATACTTCTGCTGAGACTGAACAATTCCCTCTGGCGATGACTCCACATGTACTCCAAGAAAATAATGCAAGGGGCCGAGATCCTTGAGAGCAAAAGAGGCTTGAAGATCGGCAAGTAACTTGGTAATACCAGTGGTAGAGGAGCTGGCCACAATAATGTCATCTACATACACAAGCATGAAAATGGTAACACCACTTTGGTTGTAGACAAAGAGAGACGTGTCAGCTTTGGATGCGATAAAACCAAGTTGTTGAAGCCTAAAACTCAGCCGAGAATACCACACTCGAGGAGCCTGTTTGAGGCCATAGAGAGCCTTGTGAAGTTTGCACAAATGATGAGGCATCGAGGGATTCACAAAACCAGGAGGTTGGCGCATGTATACCTCTTCTTGGAGAATGCCATGAAGAAAAGCATTTTGAACATCCAACTGACGCAAACACCATCCACGAGAGACTGCAATGGATAGAACAAAACACACAGCGACAGGTTTAACGACCGGGCTAAACGTATCATCATAGTCCAAGCCATAGCGTTGTTTGAACCCCTTTGCAACTAGACGTGCCTTGTACCAATCAATAGTGCCATCTGGTTTGTGTTTGATTTTGAACACCCATTTGCAGTCAATGACGTTGACACGAGGAGGAGGAACCAAAGTCCAGGTACCATTCTGTCGTAACGCATCGAGCTCAAGTTGCATGGCCAGTCGCCACTCCGGAGATGAAACAGCTTCACGATGATCCACTGGTTCCCGCAGGGCCAAGAAGGCATGACGGGACGGATTGTACGTGACAGTACCATCTGTACGTTGCTTTGGTTTGCGAGTGTGATCACGCGTGCACGTCGTCATTGTATGCACAGGCGGAACAGAGGATCCGGTGGCCACAGAAGATCCAGGCAGGGCGCATGCAGACGAGCGCGCAGGCGAGTCCCCCTGGGATCCCGTGTCGGACGAGGAAGCAGGCGCAGCCGCCAGATCCATCTCGGATCCAACACCGTCAGCGGGAACGACCCGCTCCGCAGGCGCCAGCTAGACAGCAGCCTGGGCGAGTCAGGGGACGCAGCAGCCCGCGGAGGGGTGGGCCCCGCCACAGTGTGGGTCGGGCGCGCGCATGCAGAAATCAACACGGGAGGCGCCTCGGTCCGCTCACCCTCAGGAGGCACGGGGTTGGCGGTCGACGGAGACGCGGGCCCGGTGCGGTCACCTGGCGCGCTGTCGCCTGGCATCACATGGTCGGCTGCCGCCACGTCACTGTCGTCAGGCGACACGTGATCTGAGGCTGATGCTGCGGCGGATCGGGAGACAGGATCCGCCTGGGAGTTCAGGGAAGGGATTTTCTGCGCCGAAGCAGTACCTGCATCCAGATTAGTCTGAGAAACAGATGCACCATAGTTCATGTGCTCATACAGAAATAAAAGAATGGCATGTTCAGCAACGCGAGGTGGTATTGGAGAGGGTTGGTCATTGGCAAAGGGAAAAATTTGTTCATCAAAGATAACATCGCGTGATATATATATACGAGCTGTAGGTACGTGAAGACATTTGTAGCCTTTGTGACGAATACTGTACCCGACAAAAACACACTGTTGTGATCTAAATGCGAGTTTGTGAGTGTTATACGGGCGCAAGTTGGGCCAACATGCACACCCGAACGTGCGAAGGGATACATAGTCCGGCTTGGTGGAAAACAATTTTTCCATGGGACTCATATTGCCAATGACACGACTGGGTAATCGGTTGATAAGATGACATGCGGATAAATACGCCTAGTCCCAAAAACGGAGGGGCATGGACGCATGCGATAACAAGGAGAGACCCATGTCAACAATGTGACGGTGCTTCCTTTCGGCCGAGCCATTCTGTTGATGTGTGTGTGGACAAGAAACGTGATGAGCAATGCCAAGTTGACAAAAAATGTGTCGCTAAGTTTTTCGTATTCCCCACCCAGTCGGATTGAACACACAAGATTTTATGAGAAAGAAGGCGTTCAACATGGGTGATAAAATCACAAAAGACATCAAACACATCACACTTTCGTTTAAGAAGGTAAATCCACACAAATTTACTATAATCATGAATGAATGAAACATAGTATTGGAACCCACCAGAAGAGGTTTTGGCAGGTCCCCACACATCTGAAAAAATAAGTTCCAAAGGAAACGAAGACACACTCGAGGATCTAGGAAAAGGTAGCTGATGTGCTTTGCCTTGTTGACAAGCATTACACACATGGGTCAAAGCCCGACTCGACGATGCTAATTTATTGGACGCCAAAACATGTTGAACAACTTGTGTGGATGGATGGCCGAACCTAGCATGCCAATCTTCAGCAAAGAGCCTAACTGAGAACATGACATGAGAATGTGAGGGCCGAATGGGATAGAGCCCATTTTCACATCTGCCTCGAAGAAGGACCCGCTTGGTTGTCAAATCCTTCATAAGAAATTGAGTAGGATAATATTTTAGATAAGCATGATTATCAGTGGCAAGGCAATTAACAGAAAGGAGATTCTTATCGGCATTTGGAACATGTAGTATGTTGCGAAGTTTGAGATGGGCAGAGGGAGTAGGAAGGAGAGGATGACCATGTTGAGCTATGTGCAAACCTGATCCATCGGCAGTGTGGATGCGGTCCTGTCCAGGATATTTCTTCCTCACGGTGAGGCGGTCCAGGTCCGACGTGATGTGATTGGTGGCCCCCGTGTCAGTGAACCAGGTAGGATCGCCGAGGATGGATGGTGGTGACGCAGCTGCTAGACCCGCCATCTTGGAGTGCTGAGGTTGGAAGGCGTGGTTGTAGCGTTGGGCACACTCCCAGGCATAGTGCCCAGGGCCCCGGCAGAGTTGGCACTGCAGACGTGCATCACTGCCACCATCGTGGTCACCGCGGTCACCACCACCGCGGTTGCCGTTCGCGTTTTGGCGATTGCCACCACCGCCACGATCACCGCGGTAGCCGCCGCGGTTGTTGTTGTTGTAGTCACCGCGGTCACCGGAGTTGCTGCGACCCTTGCCGTGGTAGTTGCCCTTGCCGCGGTTGTTGGAGTTGCCGTTGTTGTCGCGGGCAACGTAGTTGACAGAGGAGCCGCCCGTGTGAAGTTGAAGATGAGCCGCGTGATACTCACGGCGGCGCTCGAAGGAGATGGC